GAGAGAGAGAGAGAGAGAGAGAGAGAGAGAGAACTGGTATGTCCTTATTCATTCTCTCTTTCTTCCCCCTCTCCCTTCTCTCTCCCTTCCTCCCCCTCTCCCTCCCTCCCCACATGAATACTGTCATCAATATTGTTGATCAACCATCTAGAATGCCATTTTTACAAATTCCATAGTTATATCTCATAGTTAGGTCTAAATAATTGTTTAAAATTAAAATTATTTGGTGCTTAGTCCTTGACTTACAATCACAACTGAGCCCAACATTTCTGTTGCTAAGTGAGGCATTTGTCAAGTGAATTTTTCCCCAATTTACAATCTTTCTTGTCACAATTGTTAAGTGAATCACTGCAGTTGATAAGTTAGCAAGATAAGTTGTTAAGTGAATCTGGCTTCCCCAGATTCCCCAGATTTTTTTCAGGGCCATGATAACTTTGAATGCTCACAAAATGAACCATGGTAAGTTGAGGACTATCTGCATTTAGTATCGTATTTAGATTGGCCCTTTCAGGTAACTAGAAGGAATCAGAGAAATGTTTTTCTGCTTAATATAGACCTGATAATTCGTTAGAAATAACTCTTGAAGGATTTGTGGCCAATCTCGCATATAATGTTTGTACAACATAAAAGTGTTTGATTTTATAAAAAATTAATTCAAGAAATAAAAATTGAGAAGAAAGGGGATTATAACAATGTTGAGAAAAGACTTACTTATACGTCAAAGAGGTTGTCCATTTAGACAGGGTTTCTGTCACCAAAGCTGCCTCCACACGTTCTAGCTTCCCTTCATCCGGTAGAATAAATAATGCTGTAATATCTCCTTTATAAGGAATTTCTACCACCCAGCAAGAAAGATCTTCATCACGGAAAATGTTATAGTAGTCCATGTGTCTCATCAAATCAATCTGCACTGTTGTGTTTGCATCTATAAAGAAGTCTCTTTTTCTGGTCAAACGAATGTCAAAAGGTTTTTCCCAGGAAGCTCGAATAAAGAAAAGAAAATCAGGGTAGCGATTGTGGGGTGGAGAGAAACACAGATTAGACAGGAGGTAATCTGAGTAATTAATTCTCCCCAAAGTAGGAATTAATTACTCACTATTTCATCTTTTTCACTTAACCAGGATAGAAGGACTACAACTGTGTGGTTTAGTAAGACCAATGCTTTGATCATCTTCTCTGATAGCCAGGAATTTTTCAAAAGCATTCAGGATTTCCTGAGATTTGTTGAGTCTCTGATAGCAGGAAGTTCTGATCAGGCCATGCCACACTGTGTGTCTAATAATGTGTGTGACTCTCTCTGTGTCAGTCTGTCTGTCTCTGTGTGTGTGGGGGGGGGGCAGTGGTGAGTTCCAAAAATGTTTGGAACCTCTTCTGTAGGTGTGGCCTGCTTTCTGGGTCCACTGGTGGAACCTCTTCTAACCGGTTCGGTAGATTTGACGAATAGGTTCTACTGAATAGGTGGAAACTGGTAGGAACCCACCTCTGGCGTGGCCAGTGCATGACTCATCTGGCCTGCAGGCTGGCAGTTTAGACATTCTACTCCCCCTCCCCACCTGAAAAATGTTCTGATGCTAAGGCGTTTGACTCAGGGAGAGAACGGGATAAGATAGGAGAGTCTTCTGTGAGGCAAGCCTGCAGGAGAGATGGGATAGGAGAGGAGAAGAGCCCAATCACATAGTTTCATAGTGGAGCCAGGTATCCAGCTAGTTAATCCATATTCTCCACATTAATATATTGAACTCAGTGCAATTTATTTCTGAGGCTACATGCAGAGCAAAGTTGGTATGCTAATCTTTCAACATATCCTTTTTTTCTTCAGCAACCCTTGGAAACCTCCCTTAATGTTATAAAGCAGAAGTCCTTATTACTTATTTATTTCTTTATTCAATTGTATGGCCACCCATCTCAATTGCATGGCTCTGGGCAGCTAATAATTAAAAAGAAAGTAAAAAAACAATAATCCAAAACTATAATGAACATAAAATAGCAGCCAGCAACAACACATAACAAACACTTAGTGTCGAAGAAATCGCTCACTTTAACACAACTGTTAAAAAATATTTTGACCATTCCCTTCCTAATTTCTAAAACTTGACATTTTTCAGCTGCTAGCACTACAGGAATTCCTCATTTAATAAGTGCAATTGGGACTTGGAACTGCATTGTTAAGTGCTGTGGTTGCTATGTGAATTATCATATGTCCATGACAGATTTACAGCTACACTTCTGCTTTGGTTCTTAAGTGAATCACCACACCTATTAGGTGAGATATCATGTGATTGCTACTTGCAATTTCATTCCTAGATCTCCATTAACTCTGTTTGTCGGAAGCTGGTTATGTAGCATGCAAATGGCAATCGTGATCATAGAATCACAGTTGTAAATTTGAGCATTGATTGCTAAACTTCCCCCCGCAACTGTTGTAATTTTGAATGATCTCTAAATGAGGCAGTCAGAAAGAGAAAATTACCTGTACCCAAAATCTCCTATTCCATAACTTGAAATTACATAGAAGATTATTTTTCTAAGGCAGTATATGATGCTGTAACTTTGGGGTTTAACATCCCGCTAACTGGGACTAAACTAAAGGGATTTCTGTAAAACATTCAGAGACCTACCTAATATGCAAAGATACATAGGTTTTTAAGTTTAAAGGTTTTTTTTTTAACTGTCTAATAAGAACCAATGTGATTACAGCTTGAGAAAGCAAGTGAATTTATAAAAAATCAGCTCATGTGTGCCTGGGGGCTGAGAGGGTAGAGTGGGTGTGATGGGGCGGGGTAGCTAGAATCTAGAAGTCAGCGACAATGTATATCTCTAATAGGTAAATGTAGAGTTGGAAGTGTGTTATGCAAACTTCATATACGTACAATTTTCAAATACAGAAATAAATAGAGGCAGTAAATAATGGGAAAATGATATTCAAGCTTCTGAAAACTTTAAGAAATTAGAATTGGAGGTGGAGGGAAGTGAGGGAAGAAAATGATACAAGAAAATAAAATTATAGATTGATAACTATTGAATTCCCTCTTTAAGGGAGATGGAAGATTCAGAAATGTGGGAGTTGAGAGAGAGAAGAGAGAGAATGAGTGAGAGAGAGAGATGAAAGATGATATAGATCATGGATGACAAACTCACAGCATCCCGCTGCTGTCACATGACATATTGTGACATTTTTCTCCTTTGCGGAGCTGGGATGGGTGTGGCCTGCATGTAATGCATCCAGCCCAAGGGCTGCCAGTTGGACACTCCTGAATGATAGACAGGCAGACACATCGAGCTAGATGAATCAGAAAATGTTCAGGAAAAGGAAAACAGTATTCTTTTCTCCATCCAGATACTTGAATTTCATTCCTACATTTCTATAAAATGCTCAGTACAAGACTGACAACATACTAATAGTATGTTGTCCAGCAGAAGAAAGCTTCCCCATTCCTGTAGCTTACCATTGCATGTCTCCTCTTACAGAATGACTGAAAAGACGTAAAAGAAAGGTGAATCCATTTATAAATAACTGTTCTTCTACCTACCTTTGAAGAAGATGTAATTCACAAGGACCATCACAGTGGCTGGCTCTAGATGTTCAATGGCAAGAGGTATTTTCCCATGAGTTTTGTTTCTCACATAGTCATTGATCTGCTTTTTAACCAGCCTAGGAACGCTGAAATCAATAGAGAGTCCCTCAGCTTCATAAAAGGTTTTGGCATCTTCCAAAAATGTAGCCAAAAATCTCAAGGATTCGTCAATGAACAGGGTATTGCCAATGTTCAGCTGGACTTTACTGCTTGGATGGCTAAGTTCATGGGTGAGCTGTTGGAATGCTTCATGTATCTCTCTCTCTTCAATTTCTGAGATATTAAAAGCAAGTGTTTTGTGAATCTGATTCTTGGTTTCTGATTTGGCACCTAATGTCAAGAGTGCAAAAGCTGTTGAGATGCTGAAGGGAGAGAAGAAAATATTTTTGGCAGCTGCATCTGAAGCAATTTCTTGGTAGAATTTGAATGCAAATTCAGAATTACTGGAAACTATCTTATGATAGTTTGGGTACTTCTGCCCTTCTTCTGCCAAAGGAAGTTCATGATGTTTGTGTGGATTTTTATCTTTGTGGACATGGTCGGGATTGGGATATTCTGAAAATTGATGGCAACAGACTTGAAGACTAATCAGTAACAAGAAATTAATGATGGAATTCATTGTACATCTGCTAATAGTCCCTAAAGAAGAAATGCATAGGAATTCTGTAAGAATGGTAGATTATGCCCTATAGCTATATATTTACTGTACATAGCATAATTAATTTAGCTGTACTAAAAGTAGTATAAGAAGAAATTTTAGAAGTTAATTTCCCAAATTTGTATGCGTGTGCAGGCACACATGCAAATACATACATACATACACACACACACACACACACACACACACACACACACACACTGTATACAATGATGCTTTCAGCATTTTAATAGCAATGGTTTCAAAAAACAAAACAAAACAAAGAATTACATTGTTCTAAATATTTTAAATAATTTGCACATTTTATCATTTTCTCTAAAACAATAAGGTATATTCCTGACCAGATGGTTAGGTTATTATAACAGTTTGAAATCCTAAAGGCTCATTTTATATTTATCTGGTAGTTTATGAGGCTTCTAATCCTCATCTTTCAGGAACTTTAATAATGACTACATTTCTTAAGGCTACTAGCAAATTGTATTCCAGCACTTCCCCCCATATGGCATCTCTACGGGGGGGAAATGTCTACTGAACTACTAGGAAATTCTGCTTTTTCTCTTATAAGAGAGGGGGAAAGAAAATCTGCCATGAGCTTGCTATTAATTTAAGCAATCTGAAAAACTCCTTTGATTTGTCAGAAGCCAGCATTAAACACTTGTGCGGGAAGTCTGCAGTGATAGCCTATCTTTCTGTGTAGGAGAAAATTGAATAGTTCTGGCTCAAGATTGAATAGTGCTGCATTGGCATCAGGTTCTCCCAAACTCACTTTTTTGGGGGAAATTTCTCGCTTTCTATTGGATAAGAAGTGTTGTGCTGGGAGTAGGTGATATGAGTGTCAGGCAACTGTGCTTTTCCAAGATAATACAATTGAATTTTATCTGTATTCTGAATCTCATGAGAAAATATATCTCCTTCTGATTAACGTTGCTTACATGCATTTCCACTCATGCAATGTGATGATCTCTGTTTTCTTTTCTTGAGTTGATAACCTATTCCTAAGTGCTATGCAGGATACATGCAACCTTCTGAATTATATTTTAAGGGCATTTATGCGGCTGCAGGAAGGAGAGGGGGTAAATTTGTTCTCCATCCTGTAAACAGAAATCATTAGCCTGGCAGGAAAGTTAATTAGTTGTCACCTAGGGTTTTTAATCCACAGCAGGAAGCAGACATTTTGCAGGAAGCGTTAATAAACTAAAACACAGGAAAATTGCATATGGTACTTACAATTCTCCGAAAGTATGTTATGGTACTCTGCTGAATTACAAACATCTTTGAAATTTATATACAACTCTGGAAGTTAGTATTCATTATTAATCATTAAACAGAGTAAATAGGGATTAGCAAAGGGAGTCTAAATGCAAAATGTGTTGCAATCTATTTACAGCTTAGCTGACCTTTGCAAAATATTATCACCAACCAATAAGGGGCTAGGAATTAAGTAAATGGATGGGAAGAGTTCCCAGTCTCGGTAATCTCAAACTATTCATTCAATGTTGTTTAATTTTATTCCTTCTAAACCAATGAAATATTGGAAAATAATTTTCTCAAGGCGCCCAGGACTCTGTCCATCTGTCTATCAGCAAGCAAGCTCTCCAAAACTAGACTTGTTCCCTTCTGAAGGGCTCTACACTTCAAATTCTGTTTATAAAGATCAATTCTGCTGTTTGCAATTTGTGACATGTTATTCCTTTTATCTTCTGAATTCTTTGTTCCATAATATGCAGTGATTATATCTAGTCATAATACTACTGAAGTGAGCTGATAAGATGCTGCTTTAATTCACTTCACTAATCCTAACAATCAAAATATATTTACTTGCTTTATCAAAGTCAAAGAGCAAAAAAAATCTATTTTTTAATTTTTTTTATTGTTTTAATTAAACAAAAACACAAAAAAGGATCATCTTTCGTTACATCATGTAGAAAGCATGTCGATTGGTTACAAATACATTTCGTGCATTTCGTCCACAATCCTTACATATACTTCATTCAAATTGAATTGTACATTTTAAATCAAAAAAGAAAATGAATGTATTTTACTATCCCTGTACCACAATTCTCATTTAGATTACCATTATTTAAACATGTTTTTGTCTAGAATCATTTGTATTTAAAAATACAACCACCTACTGGCATTCATTTGCAGTTTCAATAAATCTCCAATAACATTACACTTTTATGACATATTCTGAAACAAATTCAGTTAAGTGAAATATCTAAGCATCCCCCCCCATAACACACTTATATGTATCATTAAATATTACCCATTAACATTTCTTTGTTATTATTGTAGTTGACTAAAGATTATTTACTGTTTATCTCACCTCTCCTCTCCACAGGCCCACACTAGATTATACCTTTATAACCATCTTTAAACAAAGATTTATTAATAAGATTTATAGGCCTTTTCCCTTAGTTCCAAATTAGTTAATTACATGTTAACAAAATAAACATTAAAAATCTAAAATAATCTAAGAGATGTTAACATTTCTACTTAATAATCACCAAAAGTTTACATTAGCATTTCCTTATTTATATCACATCTCCTCTCTTCTGACTCAAATTATTTATATCTTCATAACAAGATCTAAACAAAAATGTATAAGATTTGTACATTTTTTTGCCAGATCCCAAATTACAATTTATGGCCTGGTTGTTTATCCTAATTAAGGTTATCATTTCACTATTGGTATCATAGTAAATTATATGTTAACGAATAAATGTTCAATGATAATCTGGAACAGTCTACAAAGTACTAAAATCTCTACTTATTAATCATTAATAATTAGCTAGGTTTCCCCCCCCTCCACTAGCATTCTTAACCAGTGTCTTTCCAGTAACAAAATGGTCTTTTCTCTCTCACCAGCTGTTGTGTCAATTCTCTTTTCAAGACCTTTTCAGGATTTAAGGCTGCGCACTTTGTAGCTTAAAAGATCTCTTATGTAATTTCATTGCCCTTGAATTGTTATTAATGTAAGCTTAACTTTGGTTGTCAAGCTTATTTCTGGATAGAATTATCTTATTAACTCCATCTTTTTTGCTCTTTCTTTTTCTCCTGCATCTTGGAGTTTGGGATGAAGCACCAGATTATCAAAGTCACTTTTCCAGCTTCCCTTCTTTCTGCCTTCACTCACATTTACTCCATTAATAAGTTCATCTAATGTCTTATCTTTGTTTTCTGTATTTTCATTCGCTTCTTTAATTTCTGGTGCTCCAACCCCATCATCTAAAAAAGTTTTAGTTTAAGACAAAAAAATTAAAGTAGTAAAAAGAAATAGAGGAAAAAAGATCAGTCCATTCACCTCAAGCGGAAAAACAGGAAACATTGCAATCACTTCAATCCACAGAACATCATTACAGGCAAGAGCAAAAAACTTTCTAAGGCAGTCTAATAGGGATTAAATTCGCCAGTTTGTTCTTACTTAAGGGACTAATTTAGCTTAAGAAAACAGTTTCTTAGGGCAATCTTCTAAAAGAAAAAAAAACCTCACCAGATGGAACGCTTTCACTTCTCTTTCTTTACGGAGCCGTCTCCAACTATGTCAGCCTGGGGACTTCCTGTTTGCCGCCGGTTGAAAGCACTTCCCTTGGATCGATCAGGGACTTTGCAGTGTCCCTGCGACCAGCAAGGTCTTGTCTTCCCAGTCACCATCTCTTCGGGATGGTTTAGGTCCTGCCGGACTGTCCAGGGGCAAAAGTGTCATCAGCAGACTCAGACTGTCAAGTCCGCACGATGTAACATTGAAATGTTGGCTCCTTAAAAAAAACTATTTTTGTTGCTTCCTTCTGTTACATCCACATCTACATCACAGGGTTTGAAACATGTTCTTTCCAATGAGAATGATTTAACCGAATTTCCAGAAGGTCTTTTTTAAAAGAAAATAAAAAATGGCTAAAAATACTCTATTTTTGCAAAACTGCCAACTTTGCACTCAATTTGTGAACTATTAGAAAGCAGTAGGAGAATGAAATTTTATATTCAAAAACCTTGTGCTGCTAAGGTATTATGCACAAACTTTCATGTTTCTCATACCTTTCCTTCCAGAGATATAAGAGCCAAACTTTTACCCTTTTTTCACAACACAGTCCGGACTGAACTGGCAGAAACTCATCTCTGTGTTATTCCATTCTATCAAAATAAATGCTGGCTATTTTGAAGATCAGCAATAGTGCAGGAGTAGATTTGGGAGAGATTTTTGTAGTGAAAGATTAAAAAAAAAAAAACAATACCTTGAGATCAATTTGTTGGGAAGAGATTATGGGATATTTGAAAGGGTGGTCCCTGAACTATTCCTCAAAAGTAACTCTATTGTAGCATGGAAAAAAAGCAATAAATATAGACTAGCACCATCTAGTGTTCTCAGCTAAAAATGTTTATAAAACTTGATCCATATTGGGAAAATGAAATATGGAAATATTTATATCAGTGGCTCTCAACCTGTGGCCTGTCACAATGTTGATGTAGAGCAGTGATAGCAAACCTTTTAGACACTGAATGGAGCCTGGAGCCTGGGCATGGCTTAGCTTAACTGTCCTGTGAGAGTTCGTTTGTCTTTGCTTGAGTCTACTTACTACTTCTTCTTCTCTCTACCAAGTTGCAAGAGCTGCATGGGTATTGAATACATGCATCATGTTTTATATAAAATATATATTTTATATATTTATATAGAAGTTTCTTCTATATAATGAATCCTGCTGAATTATTTGCTTGTGCGCTGGCTGGATCACTACAAACTCTGACAGGTTAATGGGCCCAGAACACACCCAGCCAGTCCAAGCACACAGTAAGACTGAACTGTAATCAAGCTGAGGGGCAGCCTATGTTATAAGAAAAAGAGAACAAGGCTGAGAAGGCTTGCAGGATGGTTGTTGATTTCAAGGAGAGCTCTCTGCATCGATCGGGACAGAAGAACTATATTATTTGGATTGCAAAAATGGAATTCTTCTTGAAGGCTAAGGAGCTCTGGGATATTGCTATTAATCCACCCCAGGGGCCATTAGCAACTGCAGATCAATGGCAGCATTATAAGGCACTGGCCTACCTCATTTTAAGTTTGGAAGAAGAACAATTCTTGAATGTAGCTGATTTAAAAACTGCAAAGGAGGTTTGGCTAAAATTGAGAAATGTGCAGGTGAGTGTGTCAGCATGCAATGTTGTATAATTATCAAGATAATTGTAAAAGGCCTGGCTGCTACCAGCAGACAGTGTGGAGAAACATTTGCTGCACGTACAGACTCTGTTTATTGAATTAGAACAGCATGGAATGAAGATTCCTGAATCTCAGAAAGTGTTGTTGGTGTTAAATAGTCTTGATAAAACACGGGACATTGTTTCAGCCATTTTTTAATGCAAACCTGAACAGGAATTACATATGGAAGCTTTTAAAGCCTGTTTGATTTCTGAAGAAAACAAATGTGATTTTAGAAGAAGCCACGAGGAGAAAGCACTGTGAAGTGGTATATAAATCTAAGTGCTATTGATATTGCTTTTTAATATGTGCCATTAATAGCCAGGTGCATTCTGACCTATTTCTCAGCAGGATTAATAATTGTTGCTATGAATATTATACTTTGAGTCTTTTGTTCTTGAATTATTAATATGAAGGGGCTGTTATATTTTATTACAATAGGTGCAGACAGGGGCACTATGTCCATGGAAGTGGCAGCTGAAGCTTCTGTTCCTTTCTCATCAATCATTATCACAGCTTTATGAATGGCCTAGAGAAAAAATATAGGAAGAGAAAGATCATATCATTTTGTTTTTAGACGAATATAAATCTATTTTAGATTGTTATTTCCAGAATTCTAAAGCGATTTTAAAGAATACAAATGAATGAATGGGGAAGGTCTAAAAAAAAATCCACCCTTTTTGAGTTGCAGAAACACCATCTCCCCATTCACCCAATTCTTGTTTTATTTCATAACCAAAGAGATGATCCCACTTATATCGAATTGTCTTCAGTCTTTCAGAGAAGATATTTAGAAGAAACAGGGCTTCATAGGAAAAGTAAAGCAGAAAGTAGGTACACATCCAAACTATAATCGTCCCTTGGTAAGTATATATTTCCTGAATATATTTATCCATCATTTTTCTATACTCAAAAGTGATGTATGCTTTTAAAAAGTGCATTAAAGTTGCAGTTTTAAACATAAAATACCAAAATGCTACACTTATGCATTTTGAAATACATTATAATAAAATATTTGCATACCACGAAGATTTCTTTCCAGACTTACAGTATCAAATAAACAAACACAGGTAGTTGTTCTTAACAGGAAATACTGTCACCTTTACTAAAGTATAATTCCTAAGATGATTTTGAGCATTTATCATGTTTCAATTGATATAAAATAGCAATGCAGGTATGCACAGGTATATCAGGTATATCAGAGATGGTATTCAGCAGGTTCTGACCAGTTCTGGAGAACTGGTACCAGAAATTTAGCGTAGTTTGGAGAACCAGTAAATAGCACTTCTGGCTGGCCCCGCCCCATCTATTCTCTGCCTCCTGAGTCCCAGCTGATTAGGAGGAAATGGGGATTTTGCAGTAACCTTCCCCTGGAGAGGGGAGGGAATGGAGATTTTACAGTATCCTTCCCCTGCCACACCCACCAAGCCATGCCCACCAAGCTGCACCCACCAAACCATACCACGCCCTCCAAGCCACACCCACAGAACCAGTAGTAAAAAAATTTTTAATTCCACCACTAAGGTATATCTATCTAATGCCTCTTACAGGAAAAGGGAGAACTTGTATCTTACCTCTGAGAGCCTGTGATGGGGCTGTCCTGTGACTCCGGACAGATCTGCTTTGTCAGTGAATACATCAGCCACACCCAGAGAGTTCATTATATTCTTCAGCTTAATCTCTCCACTTACAAGGCATTTTGGTATATAGACATTTATAGAGCTGTCGAAGAAAGATTTCTGAATTACATTAAGAATGCTGTGCAAACCCATCCTGTCTGATGAAAAAGTGGTGGAATGGACATTCACAAGATTAGGCTACAGTTAGATAGCCTAGATCTTTTAACTACTAAGCTAAAATCTTTGTCCTGGCCTATTTGCGAAAATTTTCATATCATGATTTTCTCTCCCTATGATCATATCAACTGAACAATATCTGTGAACAATATTGGCACAAATAACTGAAAGCTCGATTTCTGTGACATTTCAGAAAATCCATTTGATTTGTTCCTGACTTACTTAAGAATCCTGCAAGTTGACAAGTTCATCCTTTATTTATAGGTAGCTGCTTTCCTGTTGGAATTAATGCCTATTGTGCACATCTCCCAGCTCAAATTAGTATTCAGTGTAGCTACTTATCATATTATGCTATCATCATCACTGTTACTGAAGAAGAGCTGCTGGCTGCAATTTTGCTGAGATGTTATCTTCACAGGCTTACTAAAATGCTACCTTCACGGGACCTTCTGTGAAATTCAAATTTGATAATATGCTGAACAGAAAGCTTTTCGGGCTTCCTAGTGCATTTATAAATAGCTTTGCCACAAGCTTATCGAATGGAAATGCATCCATAGGCTGTGGGTCTTCCTGCCATCTGCCAAAGTCATTCTGACATATCAACACACTTTGGATACCTTTAGCTCTGTCATATTTTTGGACAAGTTTATTTGTAGAAAACATAAATGTTTTAAGTCAAGCTATGGACAATTTACAAACGTGTTAAGAATGGGAAAAACTTTCAGTGGCCGCCATTTTGACAACATGCTCAAAACATTTTCAGAACTTTTCAAATGCAATCACCAGCCCAAAAGAATAGGTGCCCCAATTATTCTAGTTTCAGCAGTTGCATGAATTATAAGTGCTGAATTCAGTATTATGAGTTTTAGTTTAAAGCCTTGTTCATAAGAAGCAACTGGTTGGTAATTAGTCTTCTGTTGGGTTATGCCAATCACTGTTTTGGTTTTGTTTCATGTGGTCTGACTCTGTGTTAACTTTGACTTCCCTCCCCCACGTCCTCCGAGAGACAGTGGGAGATCTTTCTTTCACTGTGTAAGTAGGAAATTTGTGTCCCTTCAGATGTTGCTGAATGACTTTCAGGATCTGTCATTAGTGAGAAAATAGTGTGGAGGGACACAGACAGAGGTGGGTTGCTATTTTTTTTAGTACCGGTTTGAGTGTGCTCACTTGCGCATGACACTTCTGGGCAAGCGCAGAAGCATCTGGGTGGGTGGGCAGAGCCTCCCATCGCTGCTACTACCGGTTTGGCCAATCCAGGCCGAACAGGCAGCAACCCATCTCTGGACACAGATTGTATATAAAGATAGTCTTGCTTTTAGAAGCCCATCCCACCATTGTTGTGCTTAATCTATTTTACTTACCTTTTTGAAAGTATACTTTTCCATTTCTGTAAAACTCCATGTGATAAACTGCTGGCCACCCTCTCAAGCTGCCCTTTGTCAGGCAGGATAAAATATGCAGCAGTGTGACCTTCATAGGGCATTTTCAAAATTGTACAAAAGTTCTCTTCATCACGTCCAATTTCAAACATGCCCATTTGGAACATCATTGGCACTTTCACAACCGTGTGGGTATTCACATAGAAGTTGTGCTCCTCTGTGTACTTTGGATTAAAAGGCTTCTTCCATTTAGCTTAAAAAAGAAGAGATATATTAGTAAGTAATTTTGAACTGTGGGCCATACAATTGTGGAGTTAAGAGAAATTGGTGTGAGAAATTATGGAAGAGAGGGAGGAAATCTTAATTTGGTGTTTACTGACTGGGGAGGTTCTGTGTCCCTTGGATGCTTATTCAACCCTTGTAGAGCTGCAGGGAGAAACTAGTACACCATGAAGGCTTAGTGAATACTGGGGAGGCCAAACTGGTTTGAAAGAAAAATCGAACGAAGAATACAAAAAAACCAATTTAATGTAATGACTAAAGCATCAGGCTAGAAAGTCAGAGACTGTGAGTTCTAGTTCCATTTTAGCTGTGAAAGACAGCTTCGGCCAATCACTCTCTCTCAACCCAATTCACCTCACAGAGTTCTTTTTGTGTGGAAAATAGGAAGAGGAAGGTGTATTGCAGAGGTGGGTTGCTGCCAGTTCGGCCCAGATTGGGTGAACCGGTAGTAACAGTGGTGGCAGACTCCGCCCACCCAAAGCTCCCACCCTGGGAGAGCGCCCGAACCGGTAGTAAAAAAGTTAGCAATCCACCTCTGGTGTATTGGATACATTCCCCACCTTGGATTATTTGTACAAATAATAAAGACAGAATATTAAAAAGAATAAATTATTAAATATAGCAAGACAAAATAATCCATGGCCAGTAAACATAAAAGCTGGCAGGTAAGCAGATAACAGCAAG